TTTTTTTTTTTTAATTTTTTTTTATATTCTTGAAATGTCAATAAACATCATATAAAAAAACGGATTATAAAAATGTTTTTCATTTTTTTTTTTATGTTAGTTTGAAAAATGACTAAAATTTAGGCTTCTAGACCAGAATACCCCCTTAAATAGACTGGAATTATTACACATTTATCAGATTTTTTATCGGATTTCTCACCAGAAAAATCAGATCCTTAACCGTATACATTAATAGATAAATTGTTCATTTTTTCAAATTTCGCAATATTATTAATTTGAATAGGAAAATTAATCCCTGATTAAAAAAAAGTATTGAAAAGTATTGAAAAAGTATGTAATTCAATACTTTTTCAATACTTTTCACACACTGTATATCTATATATACATACAATATAGATATACAGTTGCATGGTTCAATACTATTTTTAAATCAGGGATACCGTCGTATTTAATTACCTCACTAAAATGTGGATAAGAAGTAGTCCTTTTGCTGTGACCCGTCCTTGGAGGGTGAATAACAGCTACAACACACCACAGGAAGCAGTATTCATCAAAATTTTCAATGTTCAAAACTGCATGTCGGTTGATTATCTTCTGAGGCATCCTCACATAAGTTGAGATTCCAGCATGAAGAGGTTGATATTTTGACATCGTTATTACTAAATTTGAGATTTCTGATAAACGCCATCCGGATTTTTCTTGACAGAATTCTTCAATTTTTCTTATCAAGGCATTGGTTACATGATTTTTATACCAGTCAGCAATATCTGTAGATACTAATACTTCACGATTTTGTGTTACGAATGATTTCACTTCTTCTCGGTTGGTGGTTGGAATCTCAAATTTGCCAAAAAATTCAACATTAATTTTTAAACTGTTCACTTTATTCAACATTTCTTAAACTTTTGCACAAACAAGATTCTCAGAAAAAGTCAAAAATTCCCCGATATTTTTAAGAGTACGGTTAATAACTGAGCCAGTCTTAATGTTGTTTGAAAAAACATTTCCAAGATCTTGCCATTTAATAGAATTATTTTGTTGATTTAAATCACCACCTGCAATTTGACCACTCAATAATAAAAACTGTTCACTATACCAATGCAGAAGGGTAATCTGTGTTTTAATACTGCGTTTCACATACACACTGGTCTGCGGATCTGATAAGATAGTATCAAAATAGTTAATAGTGTCTTGGCAAACATTAAAACACCGTTTACATTGTTCAACACTCACTTGGTTAGATTTTAAATCGTTATAAGATTCAGACACTGTATCCACCAGGCTGTGAATAGCTTCTATCATTTGTTGAGACATATTCGCAAAAAATAATTTTGCAAAAAAAAATTCACAAAATAACAACTTAATGCTAGTATGAATCACTAACAATTGTTAATAATTTGCAAAAAAATTCGCAAAAAAAATTCGCAAAATTAATTTAATGCTTGTATAAATCACTAACAGTTGTTAAATCAAACTTTTTAAATCATATGATATACGCTAGATGAGAGATTCAATTTCTTTTTGACTGAGATATGCAAAGTGTGAGATTCAAACTCCTTCTGTAAGTCAAGGAAGTAATCTCAGAATATTTATATAAAAAATTAATGCATCCAAGAAATACATATATATTCATACATGTATATGTGAGTCAAATAATAGTAAGACCACCTATGATTAATAAGAAACGTTACAGTACACGTGATGACAGATTTATAATGTCGGAAATTTTTCTTATGCTCTGAGTATCGAGTGTCAATGATCTAATATGACCGTTGGTATCGCATAAACAGATGTCGAAATATAAATAAGAATTTAAATAATTGATTAAATAATTTAATCAAACCGAGATATTTAGTTCTGTGAATGGTAATAAAATTTTGTTGTGAGAAAAAATTATTTAACAATAACACTGTAGATTAAAAAATTACCGTTGCTTAGCTATTTTAAAAATTTATTATTATGTATCATAAAATATACCAAGTAAAAAAAATATTCCTAAAGGGTTAATTGATGAATTCTGAATTTAATTTTTTTTCAATTTATATAAAAAAATTATGTTTTCATGATACACATATATATGAGACAAAATAATAGTAATTTAAAGGGTTAATTGATGAATTCTGAATTTAATTTTTTTTTCAATTTATATAAAAAAATTATGTTTCCATGATATACATATATATGAGTCAAAATAATAGTAATACCACCAATGATTAATAAGAAACGTTGCAGTACATGTGATGATGGATTTACAATGCCGAAAATTTTTCTTATCCTCCAGGTATCGAGTGACAATGACCGTTAGTATCGCATAAACATTTTAAAATAAACAGATGCCGAAATATAAGAATTTATACGATTGATAAAATTATTGATTTAATTAAACCGAGATATGCAGTTCTGAGAATGCTAATAAAATTTTGTTGCAAGAAATAATTCATTTAACAATAATACTATAGATAAAAAAATAACCGTTGGTTAGCTATTTTTTAAAATTTATTATTTATCACAAAATATGCCAAGTAAAAAAAATCGTCATAGAGGGCTCATTAATAAAAATGAATTCTGAATTTAATTTCTTAGTGTATTGTGAACCGTTATCTAAGTAACCTATTAAAAAAGAAAATGGAAATAATACTCGACATGCAGGAATTTAGAGGTCCTCATAATAAGTTTATCATGAAAGAATTCGCATCAATAACTATCCAGAATGAAATCAATGGAGTAGAAGAAATTACACCTACTCTATTTCAACAACCTTATCACTGGAAATCACAATCAAAGCATTACCAACGTTTCAATACCTGGATCACTCGCAATCATTATGGACTTTCATGGGATACAGGAAATATACCCTACTGTGACATTAACAAAGTTATTAATTACACCACACATGATAAGAAATATATTTATGTTAAAGGTGTTGAAAAAAAATTATGGTTGCAAGCATTCATTGCAAGTGATAAAAATATAATAGATCTAGAAGACTTTGAATTTCCTACTTTAAAAGATAATAATATTTATGATTATTGTTCTCATCATTATAATTTAAACAAAAATATGTTTGTTTATTACTCATGTGCTTTAAAAAAATGTGAAATTTCTAAACAAAATTGTTTATAAGTAAAAAATAAAATATTATTATTATAGCGGCAGGATGGCCGAGCGGGTTAAGTCATTATATCGTTAATCCGTTCGTCCATCATGCCGTGAGGCGAGGGTTCGAGCCTCGACAGTTATTCGAATAGTTCAAAACTAACCGTCGGGGGTCGCTCCGGTAGCCGACTGTACTGGCATGGGCTTTCTCTGTGGTTTCCCCATTGCCACTATTCCTGTAACCATTCGAAAGAGGTGAGGAATAGGGTGAATACAGTACAGGAAGCACAAGTCGGTCCACAGCCGCAAAAGATACGCAGAGATTATAAAAGTTGAAGGAAGAAAGTTGCGACATCTATGTGCGAAATTTGAAAAAGGCAGACACTTTGAAGCAGTGAAATTTGAACGCAGTGAAAAATTTGAAAGAAATTCGAACGCAGTGAAATAGAGAGAGGCAGTACAATTGTGATGAAAAAGTTGTAAAAGGTAGTTCTTACCGCTGTACAATGTAACAAATCTATCTATCTATTATTATTATTATTTTTATCATTTGATAAAAAAAATAATTCTGAGACGAAAAGTCCTAAGCCATTTTTTTTAATTAGACGCATAGATAATTAATTATTAATTAAAATAACGTCTCTTTATGTGTCAGAGAGAAAGAACGCCAGTGTCCAGTAAATTATGTGTCAACCCTGTTGTAAAATGCTGAAAGAGCGGAAAAACTAAGGATCAGGTTTCGGTCTGGTTATCTCAATTAAAATACAAAAATTATTAACAAAAATAACACTAGATATTTATTAACAATAAATACACTAAATATTTAACTAGTTCAATAGCGGATTGGTTAAATAAAAGCGGATATGTAATACACAGCGTGGTTAGCAAAAGCGAAGCCGGTTAGCACGTGGTTGAATAAACTGCCGGCACTGAAAAAAGCGGTAATTATTGCACAAATAATTGTAAGTTATCTAAAATAGACTAAAGCGAATTATGAGCAAATTAATTAAGCAAAGAAAATTATTTAAAGGCGAAAAAGCGGTTAATTTAGAAAGCGAAATTTATGTATGCGAAAATGCGACTTGACAAGCGGGAAGATGGATGCGAAAGATAATAATAATAATTCGTCTTCTTCCTCGTCTTGGAGAAGAAGGCTACTGCGCATGTCTAACGAGAGCGATAGCCAATCAATAAATTCGTTCTATTGATGTCGACATCGATAGCCAATGGTAAAATTCGATATCTGTGGCGTGATCAGTCAGGCGGTTTTACGCATGCGGGTGAGAAATAGCGGGAACGATGGCTTGTCAGGTGCGTGTTGTAAATTTGGGGAGCCCACAGTGACGTATTGCTCACTGAGTGGGCCTGTTCACCGAACACCTGTACAATAACCCATGTATGTAAGAGAGAGAGAGAATTTTTACGACTGGTGAACTAGAAATCCTCAGTATAATGTCTATTTAGGCTAAAATGGATGAAACAACTGATGGTATAAATTCAACATCGTATTCTAATTATTGGAAAAAAATATTTTTAATTAATAAATTCCATACTTAACTTGTCTTAAAAAAAAATTTATTTTTGATCCTTGATATTTCTTCTATATATGTATATTTTGCAAGTTTAAAAAAAATTTTTTTTTTAAATAAATTTTTTCTTTATTTATTATTCTCAAATTATTATTGGTTACATACATACATAGATATATATTATAGGATAATGATTTGAACTACATGAGGAAGAGAGACCGACCTAGGTGTTACATTTTGTTATATCCGGCGTTGCCTCATATAACAAACAGGGTCTCTCCCCTTCGATGAAAAGTACAACGCTTACACTTTATTAATTTCGGCATTCACTCGGACAACACCTCGATGAAGAAATGAGCACACTGTCCACGCACTGTCCACGTTCTGTCAAATTTGCAATTTTAGACCAATAACAAAATTTAACTCCCTTCCGAAAATCACGATCCGGGTGTATAAAAACACCAAACACCACGGATCAAATGTTCACTCTTTTATTAAAGAATACGAAGGAATGTATCTTCGTAGAACCCGTGTGGGTCCTTATACCGCGTTACGTATAAGGCAGTATACAGCACTCGGTCGCGTATGCAAAAATCTAAATTCATCTCAACTTTTAATCTCATCTTCTACGAACCACGACAGTGTGCTTTTCGAGCAGAATCGAGGGTCCCGTGGCCGTAGTGATATCAAAATTATAAACTTTCGTCCTATTATCTATTAACGGCGGATCTTAGTGTCTGTCAGAGTCGTTACTCTGTTTACGAACTCATTTTAATAAACATTCTATCTGTCAAAACATAGAAATAAATGATAGTTCATAAGTGAATTAGTGTACATTGAGTGCGTCTCGCCCATAGGGTGAATAATTGAATAAATCATAAAACCAGAACTTCTTGTTTCACCTCATTCTAAATTACGATCCTGAACCTCCTCGAGTACACCGATCTACATCACGAGAGAAGGAGGAAAATTCAATCCAGGATCAACCGATCGACCAATTCAATTCGAATCAACTAGAAAAATCATAAAGGACGACTGTGAGTTCAGTATTTGATATCGACTTCCCTTTTAATTCGCCGTTGGAACTCCTGGTTACCGGGAGGCGTTCGAAATCCACAATAAAAATAAAACTCTTATAGCTTGCCTACAAGAGAAAATCTATCTAAAAACATGTACGAGCCTCCTCAAGGCCCACACTACCCATAATTATTTAATTATAATTAATTCGGACATAACAATTTCAAAGATCGTAAAAATGATCTCTCTATCACTTTCATACACACACTGATCTATAGTTTTCCATGCTTATTCTTTTCTCTCATTTAATATATTGATATGGTAAAATTTTTCTTAAATTTTTATATTACAATTTAATCGTACTTAAAATATAAATTTTCGTCTCAGTTCATAAGTCTTCTCTTATTGAATGCAGAAACGGTTATTTTAAGTGATTTTAGACACTTTAAGTGATTGTGATTAAAACGATTTTTTTTGTGTGTTAAATGTTTAAATAAGAAAAATCAAATTAATTTTTTTTTTAATTAAAATTTTATTAATAAAATTAAACATTTTTTATAAATCAGTTTTATTAATCCAGCTATTATGGGTGGTGTCAAATCCCAACCATTTAACATAATATTTACTTCCTTTCTTGTTTTGCTGAGTTCTTCACTGTAGAACGCTCCTTCA